CTTGATCGCTCCGATTCAATAACGCAGTTGACGATTTCCAAAGGCAACTCAAAGCCGCTCTCGCTTGTGAGAACAATATCATAGAGGCTCATATATTCATCCAGTAATGTTTCTATCTGCAAAGTAAATGATAATTTGTTAAGCCTATAGCAAAAGCTAGTTATCCGCATTTTTGTCACCTTGGAACTATAGTGTTAACATTAATTATGTAGTCACATACAAAAGGCTAACAAAACAGTTGTTATGCTGCCCACAAAAATAGTACTGGAGTAAATACGTCAAAAATTCGTATTGTTTCAAAACTAACTTTCCCATTCAAAAAGCCAATTGTGAGGATAATCGAAACATCACTTTCACCAATGTCCTCCCTTATGTCCTCTTCAATCAATCCGTCAGCCATATGATGATCGAACAAGGAGTCACCCAGAAGCATAACGCAACGTCTCTTCGAAAACGCACCACGGTCCTCATCGCTCAAGGCAAGACCGCCAAAGGTCTTGTTGAACGTGTGAATGCATGGCGATTGAAAACCCACAAGCAGCCCCTACAAGTGGCGCAAAACAAATGTAGCAATACATCCCAGAACGCACTCATTCGAATAAAAACTACCTTCTCATCGAAGTTCATGAAGTTAGAGGCAACCTTGACGTTTCCATAGAGAAGGCCTGCCCTCTCCAATATCCATTCAATAATATCTCCAAGGCCAGCTGAGAAGATCACCATAGGGATATTATGACTATTCAAGGTTGACATAAAGTCGGGGACTCCATTCCTTAAGTGAACGATAAATGAGTTAGTGGAATAAATGTTTGATGTAGCTATCCAAGAGAGGTAGAAACTAGGAGGAACACTTACCTGAGCTGAAGATTGCTACTACATACGGTCATTTTCAAAGTGTCCCGATGAACGTTACAGGAAGTAAAGACTCGATGAGCAATGTCCCACCATTCCAACATATAGGGGTTTTTCAGTGAGTGAGGGATGTGCTTGTCGAATTCCAGAGATCCGTAGGTTTGGTTCAGCATACGCAACTAAACATGCCGCAACTATAAGAGAGTACCATCTTGCGCGCTTCACTCGTTATTTCAGGACTAGATTCCATAATCCCATGAGAAGTAAGATTCACTTGACCATCATCGTTAAAACACTTCGAAAGTGTCCGATCGAAATCTGATATGATCTAGCCAAAACCACATCCTAGCATGAGCGAAGTACCTGAAGATTACTTGAGCCATGGAGAATCATCCAATTGAGTTTACGTCGAACTACATCCGGATGTTTCATGTAAAAATAAGGCACACTCTATTCCGTACGCAATGTATAGCAGTATTCTAACCTTATCACGTCTGCTAAATAGCGTCTCATATAGGATGTTTAAGTAAGGCTTCTCTGACACCGGAAAACCATTACATTGACGCGATGATACCGCAGAGTTTTGCATATTCCTATTTTTGTCCAAATTCCAATACCAGTGGCGGCGCTATATCGGACTGATATGGTGCGAAAACCCTAAGGCGAAAATAAAAAGCAACAGGAAGATCGGAGCTGCCCGGACATCGAAAGTGTCTATTAAAACGATAATTTTTAAGCCTAATTTATTTGCAGCTTACAGTACATTAAAAATAGAATATTGTATTATTGTGGAGCAATGGCTAACTAACATAAATATATGCAACAACTATCTAATCGCATCTGTCACAGTAATGTATTTTCGAATTCAACTCCGGGTCGTAACCGTTGAAGCTGTGCACTATAGTTAAATTGCGAATAACCTTTTCCGTTACGTTTCCTACAAAACGAGTGGTGCCACACTTAACGACGAATACGCCAGCTGCTCAGCTCCTTTCATCCACGAAAGTTGCTCATTCCCTTGTCTAGCTAGTAAATTTTGTGGTAACCATACAGATCACTGAAC